TTTATGAACATGGCTAATTCATGAATAATTATTTGATGGAGCAAATAGTGCAGTTAAAGATAAAAACTTCACACACAACTGTCGCTTTCCACGTATCAATTGGAAATGTTTTACAGAGAACCAAATCTGAAATATTAATTTTAAGAATAGTTTATATCCCATGTTAACAATATTTCATAGAGTTCTATTTTATTTATTAAAGGTATTTTGTGTATTATTTTTATTTTTCGTTAATGCTTGATGATGGCTTCTAAGTAGATATTATACTTAATATATCGTTAACCAATAAGTATCATAATGCTCAATCGAATCACACTTTCAGATATTCTTTTTTAAATAACATCATATTTTTCTGGACTAATCAGACTCTATTTCTGTTTTTGAGATAACAGCTATATAGTGTAAATGATAAATTTCTTCAGGTGATCAGAGTGTTGCAATGGTGTTAACTTAAGTACGCGTTTCTCTAAAGGTGAAATTTCTTTTCTTTATAAGAGGAGTCTTCCCTCTAAGAATGAAAGACCAAGTAAATAACGGTAATTCTTAACTTTGATTCGTGAGTATCTCCGATTGTGAGGTTAGACTAGTAATTGGCGTAAAATCTCAAAAACCGCACCGTCGATTTGGATCAAATTTTAAGTTTCGGGATTGATAAATAAATGATCAAATAGAAATCTATTCTATCAAATTCATTAAAAATACATTAAATTAAAAAAAATACATACATTATACATTTAAAAAAATCCCGCTATCGGATTAATAGAATCACTTTTCAAATATGGCTAATCCCGAATATTTTATTCACCAACGAAAAAGTATTAACCTTGGGACGTAGGTAAGTGTGGAACCAATGAAAATGGTGAGAAAGCTATACTGGTCCCACTTGGCAGACATTTTTTTCTTATTTGGGACAAGCAACGGGTGCCCTCCTTAAGGTCGGCGTCCCGGGGCAATTGTCCCGATTGTCCCTGAGGCCGGGAGTACCTGTAGATAATGTTTTGCCTGAGCTTGAGCAACTGCTGCTGTCCAGTATAATGCCTGCAGCTCTGCATCATGTTTGTTTATTCTATATGTCCACCTGCTTTGTGGTCTCCCACGGTCTATTGCCAACTATTGTGGAATTCATCTTTATACTAATGGATTTTTTTCTAACTTCTCCTACTTATTCTTGTCTTCTTATTATGGAATATTAACTGAATAAAGTTTCTGTAAGTAGTTCTTTATTGACTTTTCACTTTATATGCCAGTAATCTGATCCCAAATCGCTGGTAATCTAAAATTCAAAACTAAAATCTAGCATTTATGATTCATTCCGATGTGCTCATTTCCATTTTTATGTGACGATGATCTTATCACCATCTTCTGGGTTTCAATTCAACAAAGTTCATCATTTTTTTTATAAGATAACCTCCTACCCACCATTTCTGGCATACGGGGGGAGGGGGGTTGTTCTAGAGGTACAACCAAACCTATTCTAACCAAAGTGGGAGGGTCGAGTTTCATTCCGTGTATAGGTATGTATGTGTATTCATTGGTGTATAGTACTCTTAATTGAATTAAACTATGTAAACCGTGTGGTAAAGAAATGTGGACGATCTTGACGAAATGTGAGCTGCCCATAAACTTTAGGCACATTATTTTTTAAAACTACAGTCATGATAAGCTGATATATAATCATACTTAAAACTATGTACATTAAAGTTTCAAATGAACGTTTATGCTTATTTTATTGATATACATATCTTTTTTTTAAATTAATTATGAAATTAAAACTTTACTTTATTAATACCGCTGAGAACCACAAAATTAGATTTAGTAATCCCTTCCAGAACTCCAAGCCGAAAAGATGGCGCAAAACTCGAAGGACAGAACTCCAAGCGTGGAAATGGAGTTGGTTGGTTGCAGAGTCTGCGGAAGAACGTTCGTTCCAGACCGAATCGAATACCACGAGCGGGTCTGCAAGTCTATGAGGAAGGAACAAAGGACACCATACGACTCGGTGAGCCATCGTTGGAAGGGAACGGACAATGAACCCGCCATCAAATGGATCAAGAGCAACTCTGAACAAAAACCACCGGTAAGACTTCTCATAACAGTATTAGCAGCAGTACTAAGTCGCTGAGGTGTATTTGGTGATTAAGCAATCATGTTATTATTTATGCGTTTCATTTGATTTATGGTACGTAGATAATAGATAACTGTTTCGAAACTAAAATATTTTTCTTTGATCCATATTCGAGACCATATACGTGGTGTCGGTCAGATAATTGAAGAAAATATGCCGCCCTACTTGCCAAAATACATATGACGATTTTCGATGGATAAAAGCTTCCAACAATGAAATAAACTTAGATGATTTTTTTTTTTTTGTTGCATCAATCTCAGCTAGAGGTAGATCTAATGGTAATGTTTATATTAGATTCGTAAACGGAATAATTGGACCGACATTAAAAACTGAATTACTTTCAATCGGTATCTGTTAAGGTAAATAACGAAGTTTAGAACAAAAAGGGTACAAAAAAACTTTAATATGTTTAACGTCAGGCAACATTCCCAATAATTTGTCAGTGGACTGCATTAAGGCAACTAGTGAGGAATATATTTCGTAAAATTATGTCACTCACCCTTTCTTCTGGCATGAGGCAGCTCTTACTTGGTGAGAGTGGTCCTTCAACTGCTCCGTCTTTTGCTCGTCTTTCTAGAAGGCCTTAGCTGAGAATGAGACCTAGTCAAGTCCTGAGGTAGACTGTTCCCGATTATATTTGTTTTCGCAACGTAATTCATAAAATAGTATCATTATTTTATTTCAAGTAAAAATCTTTTGGTAATAATTCTATGTTGTTTTTTATTTTATTATTTTTTTTTTTTATTTATTTTTTTTTTTTTTTTGTATAGCCTGTTTTTACAGGTATTACACCTGTAGGCCTTCCCGTGGAGACCAGCCGTAGTAGGAAGTAGGGCCGGGATTCGATCCTATGATCTTTGCTTTACTGGTATAGCGCGCTAACCACTCTGCTATACCGGCCCCCAATAATTCTATAATAGTCGATAAATACAAGTAATCTTGGCTGGAATACTTAAAATGTTTTTAGTATGTAAAAAGAAATATGTTAAATTTTGTTTGACAGTTTTTCTTTAAAAATTGATTAAAAACATATAATTAAAATAAATATGTTTTTACGAGTCTCTACCGAGTATGAGTTTCAACAAGATGGAAAGGAGGCACGCGACAACAGTTATGTCTGACTCAAACCGATCCTGCTATCACCCCGAGGATTGTTGGCTAATTTTATTTTCAGAGACTGCACACCATCCTATGGAGATTGATGGAGAGACCACAACCGCGAGGGGAGATATTCGACGTCGAAGAGGAGGAAGATGAAGAAGAACTACTGTTGGAGCTTACGGGGGAGAACGTGTTGCCAGTCTAGTGGTATGTCTGTTGCAGAGGGAGCAGAGAGCGGAATCGAGAAATAAGAACGATCTGCCGTTCCCGAAGCCGGCCGAACGTTTGGAGGAACCTATACCAGCCGTAGTGAAGCCTGATGGCAGAATAGAGTGTCCTTCCTGCAAGAGGTCCTTCGATGAAGCCGCTGCCAACCGCCATATTCCTGGTTGCTGCACCAGAACCAAGGGCAGGAGTTCTCGTTAATAAATCCATCCCTCTTCAATTTACTTTTTTATGACTTTATTAATCATTTATGGAAAAAAATAAATCTGCTGGATCGTTGGCAGTCATTTGAAATTACGAGGTGGCACGTAATAAAGTTACGGTGACACCCGTGTCCAAAGTTGCCCAATATGGATCCATGTATATTAGACCAACATCCCAGTCTCAAATATTTGATTATCATTCTTTGCATACGCGTCTGGCTTTACCTAAAGGTGTGCATCTAAACTAAACTAAATATGGATATATTTGCCCTCCAAATTTGGGGAGTGGTGAAGGATACTTGGTTTAGGATACTGAGTTTACAAAATCTTCTGCATGTGTTTATTATTACTATCATTGCGGAACAATGCAGAACCCGTCACCAATCGCTATCCTTTTCTGTCGCTGCATTTCGTTAGTCAGTCATTTTTTTCCTCGTATCAGTTGCTACACCAACTTACTCCGTCATTCCCTCTCCCCATGATTTTCTAATTAAGCTGTCCTATTTGACTGACCGAACCTTCAAAGTAAACTATAACTTTGCCTAGTCAACCCTGTTTTCTCAGTCTGCCGGTATCCCTTAATTAGGGATGGGGTATCTAAAGCCCAATACCGACCTATCACTATCGGCACTATTAAAATAGTGGACTTGAAATATCGATACTATATATTTTTATGGATATAATAAATATTTTTGAAAGAACATTAATTTTTAATATGAATATGAAATTAAATATTGATTCTCGTATTTATGTAAACATGGACTCATCAAAACATTTGTTATTTTTCTCTTTAAATTAATTAATTGAAATATCAATTCTTCCACCCTCCTCAGTAGAATTAATTTCCTGATTACTGTCCATCTTCGGCATCCTCAGTTTTTTTTTTCCATTCAAACAATTATGCCTTCCATTCACCTGTCGATCGGATTTAGCCAAATACTAATTAAGTTGCAATCCAACATAAATTTCTTTGATAATTCATGGCCTTGATTTGAAAAAGTTCAAAGTGACAAATTTAGAGAAATTGAGCTCACACTCAAAAATCACTTACAACAAAGGTATGTTTCAAATTAATGAATTTTAGAGCAGGATTAATGGTTATAAGTTTATATTATAAACTACGTGCGCTATTCAATTCTACTACGCATTACATTTTATATGATAACAGGCAAGGTGAATAGATTTTTTTTTCTACCGATTAAATTCATGCACAATCACTATAGCTTTCTGAAAATGAGAGTTTTAATTTAATTTTTAGATTAAAATATCTCTGGGATGATAACGGTTGGCAATAATATCGAAGTAGATGCCATCGATGGTAAAATATCGAATACCGGAAGAAAAATATGAATATTTCGATATTAGCGATTATCGATGGCCGCCATCCCTACCAGGAAGGTAGTGAGGTAAGGTAGTCCTTAGAACTTTTAGTATTTATAAAAAACATAATTTATGAAATTATTTATAACTTTCAATATTTATTAGAAGCTTTGGGACTCAAGGTCCCTCCATTATATTTGCTTCTGTGAGTGATCTAGCTAAATTCTTAAGCAATCATAATATGAACATTTTTTGAATTATTATTCATATATTGCTACTAAATATTAGCAAGTTTCAAGATAAAATAATCCATAAGATTATTATTGTTCCTGTAATAAAAGTTTATTATTTATTTTACCGGCCTTCAAGGACTACTTGAACATCATTTTATGTATATGTATGTATATAATTCGATTTCATTGATTGCTCACTTATGAATTAATTTAATAAACAAACGAGCAACAATTATTTAAAAATATATATAAAACAAAGCATTTGGGAGTGGGAGCCAAATGAAATCCTCGATCCGCTAGTACACAAAATTGTTGTGGAATTGTGTAAGAACTATTTTATTGTACTTTTATAATATAAAAACATAACACTCTTCTAACTTAGAAATATAAATAACACTCAATAGCTTTAACCAAAATTATATATATATATATATATATATATATATTATATATATATATATATATATATATATATATATATATATATATATATATTAACTAATATCTATTGAACAGAAATTTAGTTATCTTTTTATTAATTAATTTATTATTATGGTAAGTGAAAATTCTGTGTTGCGCGCACCAGGTTTTTCTAATGAAAAAGTGGTCACCTACATTTGATTGATCTCTCTACTCAACAGGCCTGAGACCCGACCTAGATAAATTAATCAATTAGCAATATTAGCATTGATTACAATTGTAAAATAATCAATTTGAAAAAGGCAATATTCAAATGCAAATTTACGTAGAAGCAACCGCAATTAAGATGACAAATATTTCATCTTCGATATTCCTATAAAGCTGTACAACCGTCATAGACCCATCACACTAACCACCGAAGGATGACCTACTCCAACAGGATGAGCATCTCTGCACTGATAGTGCTGGCAGCCTGCGTCCAGAGCCAAGTCTTTGGTAAGCATTGTTATATATTATACAAATCATGTATCAGAGAATATTAAATTTAAAATTTATATCAATAAAAAAAAAATCATGATTAGTCCTGCGAGTCTTCATTTGAATACATATATGACCAACCGAGAATAAGTAAAAAGGATGGGAATTCAATAATAGTTTTTCTTCTAAACCTCGGATTATTTTATATTTTTAATTTCTTGTCTGTATTAAGTTTAAATATCATCCAATTTTTTTATATATTATAGATAATGTGAGGTTTTGAGGAGAACATAAAAAATCAAAACGTATTTCTTTATAGTTTCTTGTAAAATATGTTTTCAAAATGAGAAATAGGGCTTATTGTGGCTTATCCAGATATAAGATCTAGGTATATCTAAGATTTATATATAGACTCCCCGGTCATGGTAAAACATTGATCTATATTGACTCCGAAATGAGTTGAGCTCGGATAAGACTGCATTTCATTAAAGAACAACAATCTTAAATTTGGAAAATTTATGTATATTGGTTTTCTCAAAAAATTATAGAAATTTATGTTAAAGGATGCTCTGGACATCACGGCGGTGTAGCTCCGGGAAGTAGATTTAATGGAGGTACCTTTGCACAAGGAAAAGGTTTTGGATATGGAGCGTCAGGTGGGCCAGGATCAGTAGGCAGTGGATTTGGAGGAGGACAAGGAGCTTTTGGAAGTGGATTTGGTAATGGATATGGATCTGCCGGCAGTAGATTCGGATTTGGACCAGGATCGTTTCCGAGTGATTTCGGATTTGGACCAGGATCTTTTGGGGGTGGATTTGGAAGTGGATATAAATCTGGAGGCAGTGGATTTGGAGGTGGACAAGCATCTGTTGGGAGTGGATCCGGTGGTGAACAAGGAACTGGTGGCAGTGGATTTGGAGCCAGAAACGTAGCTGCTGGAAGTGGATTTAGTAGTGGACAAGCTTCTGGGAGTGGATTCTCTGGTGGACAAGCTTCTGGGAGTGGATTCTCTGGTGGACAAGCGTCAGGGAGTGGATTCTCTGGTGGACAAGCTGCTGGTAGTGGATTCTCTGGTGGACAAACTGCTGGTAGTGGATTCTTTGGTGGACAAGCTTCTGGGAGTGGATTCTCTGGTGGACAAGCTGCTGGTAGTGGATTCTCTGGTGGACAAACTGCTGGTATTGGTTTCTCTGGTGGACAAGCTTCTGGGAGTGGATTCGGAGGTGGTCAAGGAACTGGTGGCAGTGGATTCGGAGGCGGAAACGTAGCTGCTGGAAGTGGATTTAGTAGTGGGCAAGCTGCTGGAAGTGGATTCGCTAGTGAACAAGCTTCTAAGAGTGGAATCTCTGGTGGACAAGCTTCTGGGAGTGGATTCTCTGGTGGACAAGCTTCTGGGAGTGGATTCTCTGGTGGACAAGCTTCAGGGAGAGGATTCTCTGGTGGACAAGCTGCTGGTAATGGATTCTCTGGTGGACAAGCTGCTGGTAGTGGATTCTCTGGTGGACAAGCTGCTGGTAGTGAATTCTTTGGTGGACAAGCTGCTGGTAGTGAATTCTCTGTAGGACAAGCTGCTGGTAGTGGATTCTCTGGTGGACAAACTGCTGGTATTGGTTTCTCTGGTGGTCAAGCTTCTGGGAGTGGATTTGGAGGTGGTCAAGCATCTGTTGGTAGTGAATCCGGTGGCGGACAAGGAACTGGTGGCAGTGGATTCGGAGGTGGAAACGTAGCTGCTGGAAGTGGATTTAGTAGTGGGCAAGCTGCTGGAAGTGGATTCGCTAGTGAACAAGCTTCTAAGAGTGGAATCTCTGTTGGACAAGCTTCTGGGAGTGGATTCTCTGGTGGACAAGCTGCTGGTAGTGGAATCGGAGGAGGAAAAGCTGCTGCAAGTGGGTGCAATTGTGGACAATCTACTGGAAGTGCATTCGGTACTGGACAACCTGCTGGGAGTGGATTCAGTAGTGGACAAGCTGTTGGGAGTGGATTCAGTGTTGGGCAGGGATCTGGAGGAAGTGGATTTGAAGTTGCACATGTAGCTGGTAAAAGTGGAGTTGGAGTCGGACAAGCAGCTGGAGGAAGTGGTTCTGGATGTGGACAAGTAGCTGGTGGATGTTCATTCGCTGCTGGACAAGCTGCTGGTAGTGGATTCAGTAGTGGGCAAGCTGTTGGGAGCGGATTCAGTGTTGGACAGGGATCTGGAGGTAGTGGATTTGAAGTTGGACAAGTAGCTGGTAAAAGTGGAGTTGGAGCCGGGCAAGCAGCTGGAATAAGTGGTTCTGGAGGTGGGCAAGTAGCGGCAGGTAGTGGACTTGAAGTCGGACAATCTGTTGGAGGTAGTGGGTTTCATGGTAGACAAGCTTCTGGCAGTGGATTCAGTGTTGGACATGGATCTGGCGGCAGTGGATTCGATAGTGGACAAGCATCTAGCGGCAGTGGAGAAGGTGGCGGACAAGCTGTTGGTAATGGATTTATTGGTGTACAAGCTGCCGGGAGTGGATTTGGTGGTGAACAAGCTTCTGGGAGTGGATTCAATGTGGGACATGGATTTGGCGGCAGTGATTTTGGTAGTGGACAAGCATCTAGCGGCAATGGAGTTAGTGGCGGACAAGCTGTCGGGAGTGGATTTGGTGGTGTACAAACTACAGGGAGTGGATTTGGCGGTGTACAAACTACAGGGAGTGGATTTGGTGGTGTACAAACTACAGGGAGTGGATTCGGTGGTTGGCAAGCTGCCGGGAGTGGATTTGGTGGCGGACATGGAGGTTATGTGAGTGGATTTGGAGGCGGACATGGAGGTTATGGGAGTGGATTTGGAGGCGCACATGGTGGTTATGGAAGAGGATTCGGAGGTGGACATGGTAGTTATGGGATTGGATATGGAGGCGGACATGGAGGTTATGGGGGTGGATTTGGTGGTGCATATGGAACATTTGGTGGAAGAGGAGGGGGTGGAAATTTTGGAAAATGGTATTAATTTGAAGTACAGAACGAAGTCAACTATTGACGAAATAATTATTATTCACCAATTTATAAGAGGAATGATAATAATATTTTTGTAGAATAAATAAATAAAATCTTGCCTACTTAGGTTTTTTTATTTGTTATTATTTATTAATACTTTTTAAGATATTTTATATGCTTATAAAATTTAAATCTTATATTTAAAACAAAGATTAACCAGAAAAAGAAAACTTATCTTGATACATTGATATCTATTTGCAAGTTGTAGGAAGTTTCAACTTGCAGTGAGGTCTTGGATTCGCAAATGAGATTCTTTAGATTTAATAACAACAGGCGTTTTCATTTTTCGCCTTACTACCTATGTGAGAGCGATAAAGTTTGAAACCACCAGGTAATGAGTTGAGTGGCTGCCCTCCACAAGGCACCGATTGTTCTCGGGGGCACTAATGTTTAACATGTGTCAAAAAATAGTTATTCCAATGAAATAGCCATATTTTATTGCTCTAATATAATCGAAGTATCCTATTCGATGGTAATGGCTCGAGCCATTATGTAAACTAAAGATAAAACTCCAAAAAGTATGAGGAAATATTTTTACTAAAATATTTATTTTTTGTTATTTTATATTATGTATTATTTTTATTATTATTATTATTATATTATTAGCCAAACATTTAATGTGTCCCGTCCTCTTAACTCTGGCGACCGGGACACGTGTCCCTTTGTCCAAAGGTTGGTTCGAACTTGTCCTAACTTCTGCTAGAAATTCCCTTTCTTTTTTCTCCTCGTTTGCCAAAATCTATTTCTTCTATATGTTATGTGTTTACTTTAATATTATACGATGTTTTTATGGTTATTTTCGTACATTATATTTCAATCTTTATATTATTAATTTTATACGTTATATTACATTTTATTAGTTGGATACATTATTATTATTTTCGTATTATTTAATTTCTTCTTTATACTGTGAACATCATTTCATACGAAAAAAGTGATGGGATGTTATGTTTTCTATATAATAGTTAAATACATTGTTGAGGAGAATAAAAGTATCAGAACAAACCAAAACTTATTTCTCTCTGTAAAATATGTTTTCAATAAAATAATTAAATTAGGGCCTATTATGTATATGAATAACAATTACTTGAATCTCAAGGTTTAACATGCTTACTAATTAAGGGCAAAACTTTTGTTTCAATTAAATTTTGTCTTTAAACAAATATTAATTGTTTCAAATAAATATGTAAGGATATAAAACACTTATAGATCTTCATTGAACTAAATTAATTGATATATGATTTGAACTCGGAAAATCATGATCTTTTTCAGAAAAAGTAACCTTAAATTATTTAATTTATGTATACTGATTTTCCAAGAAAAAAATATTTAAATATACTGTAAATATTTAAAGGATGCTGTGAACATCATGGTGGTTCAGTTTAAGGAAGTAGATTTAATTGAGGTGGCTACGGAGAAGGATACAACATTGGATTTGGCGATGGATTCGGAGGAGCATCCAGTAATTCAGGATTGGTAGGCGGTGCATTTAGAGGCGGAGAAAGAGGTGTTGGGGTAGAATGTTTGGGTAGTGGATATAGATCTGGCGGCAGTGAATTCGCCATCGGCTCAGAAGCTGTTAGAAGTGGATTTAGAAGTGGTTAAGGATATGGTGGCAGTGAATTAATGTAGATTATTTGAGTGGATTGGAAGGTGGACATGGAGTCTATTTGAGTGAATTTGGTGGTTGATATGACAAATTAAATGAAA